GGCAGGTGGATCACTTGAGCCCATGAGTTCGAGACCAACCTGGCCAACATGGTGAGACCCTGTCTCTACTAAAAATACAAAAATTAGCCAGGCATGTTGGCACATGCCTGTAACCCCAGCTACTTGGGAAGCTGAGGCAGAAGAATCACTTGAATCTTGGAGGTAGAGGTTGCAGTGATTTAGATTGTGCCACTGCACTCCAGCCTGGGCAACACAGTGAGACCTTGTCTCAAAAAACAACAACAATGAACTCCAAAGAACAATATGTCTTGACCTTTTGATTAAAGGTTGTGATAATCACTATGTGAAAGTTAAACTCCATTTGTTATCAAATGTGTGGAGAGTATTTTCAACCTATGATTCCAGTAACATGAGATATTGCTGAAACAGATTTTGGAGGACATCTACCAGTCTGCCACATTCCCCATCTCACTTGTATTTCTTTGCACTGACTTCACTCTCACTCCCTCTCATCAGTCCAGCCTCCAAGCTGCTCTGAGAGTGCTTTCTGATTCAGAGTGCCATTGTGGCACTGGTCTGCTCACAAACCACTCATGGCTCCCTGTCACCTCAGAATGTGATGCTCAAACTTTAATATGCACTAGGAATCACCTAGGGGGCATGTTAAAATAGAGTGGCTAGGCCCCACACCCAGAGGTTTCTTTGTTTTTTGTTTGCTTGTTTTGTTTTGAGACAGAGATCAATCTGTTGCCCAGGCTGGAGCACGGTGGTGTGATCTCTACTCACTGCAACCTCTGCCTTCTAGGTTCAAGCAATTCTCCTGCCTCAGCCTCCCAAGCAGCTGGGATTACAGGTATGTGCCACCATGTCTGGCTAATTTTTGTATTTTTAGTGGAGATGGGGTTTCACCATATTGGCCAGGCTGGTCTTGAACTCCTGACCTCAGATGATTCCCCTTCCCTGGCCTCCCAAAGTGCTGGAATTAGAAGTGTGAGCCACCGCACCTGGCCATATGCTCAGAGCTTTTGATTTAGTAGGTCTGTGGCCTGAGAGTTTGCATTTTTATCAAGTTCCCAGGTGATGCTGATGCTGCCAGTCCAGGGACCACACTTGGAGCACCAGTGACCTGGAGAATAAAGTCCATGCTCCTTAACCTGCCATTCAGTCTTGCCCAGCCTAGTCTTCAGCCTAGTTTCTAGTGTCATTACTCATCCTTTCCTTTCCCCTCCAAACACCCAGGGCTGCAGTCACACTGTAGTTCTCACTTCTCTCTAAGCAGGCCAGCTGTTCACACCTCTGTGCCTTGCTCCTTTTGTCTGGAATGTTATCTTCTGCCCAGCAACTTCCTTTCTACATTCTCCCTGAAGCCTTTCCTGACCCTGTAAGCTGTTGTTAAGTCTTTCTCTGCCCCAAGTCCCTGCCAACTTTGCACAGTCTTCTTATTGCTCTTGTGGCCTAGTGTTTTGTCTGTCTAGCTGTGTCCCCATCTCTGGAGCCTTAGTCACCTCCATAGCTCTCAGCCATTGTGACAGGGTCACTGAGTGAGGGAACAAAAGTATAATGAGGAAATGGAGGTGTGTAGATGGAGTGAATAAGTGAATGGGGTAATTAGGTCGGTGAAGAGAAGAAATGAGGAGTTTATTGATACCTGAACGAGTGAGTTACAGTCCACTGGGCTTGGTGCTCGCCACTGAGTCCTGAGCCCCAGGCCAAAAGAGAAATTCACTCCCTGGCCACATTTCCACAAAGTTCCAGCCATCACTTTCTTTTCAGCAGGAGCCAACTGGGAGACAGAGTACTCGGTGCCCAGAGTACTCAGGAGCAGACAGGGGCTGGGGACCCACTGTGGGTCAGAGCTCACCCTCCCTGTTCTCACTCACCCTGGTGTTGCTGAAAGTCAGCTGTAAGGTATTTGGAACTCTGGGGAGACCATGTTGTGCAAGACAGATGCTTTCTAGGGCCAAGACACAAAAGGCTTTGCCTCCAAACTAGTGATAAGGAATCAGAATTGTTTTGAGTTAAATTTGGAGACTTGAGGTATTAGAACTAATCCACCCTCCTCATGACAACCCAGCTTCCTCCATATTCATAGAGGAGGCATCTTTTGGCTCAGCAGACACTGATATGACTGTAAGAACTCTGCCAGGGATGGTGCTACCTGGGGACAGCAACTATTCCTGCACCAAGGCTGTGTGGCCTCAGCAAGACACAGTGTGTCTTTGAGCCTCTGCGTCGTCTGCAGGTTGCAATATTACAAATCCCCTTCAAGGTGCATGGTGAGCATCAGATAGGAGGGGTGGGTCAAGGGCCTGGCACAGTGCCAGGCAGATAGTAGGTATGCAACAGAGAACAGCTAGAGTGTTCACAACTGATCCTTGAAAGTTAAGTTTCTTCCCTGGTGAACCAGGCCCAGTTGGTCTTCTAAGGTTCTTCCTTCTATTTATATCTGTCTTCCTTCTTTCACAATTCTATCCAATTTTGGGACATCAGCTCTTATCCCACCTCCTCTGCAAAACTGTCTCTGTTCTTGGAACTCTCTACCAACAACGCCCACCATACTTATGGTGTGGCCCAGTGAACATGGAAGTGAGTGGTTAAGAGGAGGGGGTCTTCAAGCAGAGCTGCCATGTATGGCTGCACAGGTTGGGCACTGCCCAGGTATAGGGAATACCATTCACATACACTGTAATGGGAGTGGGGCCGCAGTGAGTTGTAAGGAAGAGGCTCTCTCTGCAAGCCAAATGGCCTGAGTTTGAATTGTGGCTCAACCACTCAATTGCTTGACGAAGCAAGGTATGTAACCTCCTAAGCCTCAGTTTCCTCATCTGTGACTGGGATGTTATTATAGTAGCTGAGAATATTAGGTAGTTGAATGAGCTCAGGACAGTGCCTGGTACATCCCTAACATTTACTGAGCACTTAATTGCATTATCGTTATGATTATAGTTGGTTTCTCATCATTGCCTGTGTGGGTGTCTTTTCTCTCTAAGAAGGCTGTGAGCAACCTGGGACAATGAGTCACTGAGAAATTGCAGGAGCTTGGCCCAGCACCTAGTGGGAGGCAGGGCCTCATGCTGTCCTCTCTCTCAGGATCCTACTTCAGCTTTGTTTTTGCCAAAATTCACTCGTAATAGGCCTTTTTTAGTTACAAATCACAACACTCCAATGCAAGCTAGTTTAAGCCAAAAGAAGCCTTTGTGGGCTGATATATGTGGGAAGTCTAAGGGAGGATCCAGTGGCTTCAGGCAGAGCTGGATCCAGCGCTTCTCCATCTCCTGGCTCTGCTTTTCTGAGCTGGGCTTTATTCTTTCTCCATGGGAGGACAGCAAGTCACTGGTGTAGTCTGAGCTTACAGTCTATGGCTTATGGTCCAAAAAGAAGTGAAGCTCTCCTCTCGGCATCCACAGAGCAATGGAGGGCCTCGAGTGACCCAGCTTGGGTCACATGCCTGCTTCTAGGACTAATCATTGTGGCTAGAGAGATTGGCACTTGACTGGCCAAGCTGGGGTTATGTGTCCACCTTAGTTTGGCAGTTGGACAAGAGCCATATGTGATGGGGAAGGGACTTTTATCCAACAGAGGGGTGCTGGGTATACAAGAATGTTGGCCGTGTTCACTCTCCTTCTTTATGGCTCAGTTCATAGGTCACTTCCTTGGGGAACCTTGCCCTCCCTTCTCCCCTGCGTGGACCTCAACCTTCCCACAGTAAATTGCAGATTATTCCCTGATTCTCTCAGACCAGTCTGGGAACAACTTGAGGTAGGTACCACAGCATATTTATTCATCTGTATCCTGCAGGCCAAGCTTCCTGCCCCAGCTGTGGAAGGGACGTTGGTGGTGGCCTATCCAGCACTCACTTCTCCACTTCCTACTCAGATCTTGTTGGGTTTTACCCTCTCTCTGCACCGCCTTGATGGAGTAGCAAACTCCACTCTCACTGGTGTAAAACCATGACAGTCTCCCTTGCCACAGTGACTGAAGAATGGGCATGTGAGGCTGAGTTTGGGCCACTGAAACATGATGGTATCTGGGAAAAGGCTTCTTGCTCCTGTGGGTGGGCCGTGGAAGCCTGCTGGTTCCTGCTCCCTCCTGTGCTGGATGTAAATGAGGAAGCATCTGGCCTCAACTGCTCCACTGCCACACTACTGCCAGAAAAGAACTCGGCTTAGGCAGAGGTCGACACTGTGGAGGGCAGTGTGGCGACACCTAAGGAAGCTGGGCCCTTGATGGCCCTGAAGAGTTGCTATATTGGCTAACCTTGAAGGTGCCAAGCCTGCAGCCAACACATTTGCTTTTTTTTTTTTTTTTTTTTTTTTTTTTGAGTTTCACTCTGTTGCCCAGGCTAGAGTGCAATGGCAGGATCTCAGCTCACCGCAACCTCTGCCTCCCGGGTTCAAGCGATTCTCCTGCCTCAGCCTCCCGAGTAGCTGGGATTACAGGCATGCGCCACCACACCTGGCTAATTTTGTATTTTTAGTAGAGATGGTGTTCCTCCATGTTGGTCAGGGCTCGTCTTGAACTCCTGATCTCAGGTTATCCACCCGCCTTAGCCTCCCAAAGTGCTGGGATTACAGGTGTTGAGCCACTGCGCCCAGTCCACACCCACACATTTCCTTATTGTGAATCCACTTGGAGCTGGGGGGTGTTGTTACCTGCAGCCACAAGTATCCTCAGAAAGAAGGGCTCAGAATGTTCTCCCTGAATGAATGCCACAGGTCAGTGGCCACGGGCTGAGAGCCACCAAGCATATCCCTACAAACCTTACCACCCACACTGGTTCCTTCCTACCCCACCATAACAGACATTCAGACTGGATGCTTTTTTTTGAAAAACCACAGCAGTCACTTTATTCTTAAGTTTGCACTTTACAAAACCACAAGGGAGAAGTCCTTCAGGGGGAGACAGAAGTAGGGGGTTAGGGAGTCGGGGATGGTAAAGAGAGGGAGGAGGAAGATCCAGAAACGAAATACCCCCCCAACCTCATCTTGAGAACCAAGCAGACTAGGGCCCAGGCCAACCCAGCAGGGCTTCCTATGTCCTGGCTGTGCAGAGCTAGGCAGGCCAAAAGACCTCAGAGGAAGGGCCACAGTCCTCTAGAGACTGCCACCATTTGAGGGACAGCCACAGGCCAATGCTTCCTGTGCCCAAAGAAGGAAGTGGGCCTCCCCTCCCCTCCCCCAGAAGGCAGCCTGAGGCAAGGGTGAGGGCTACCCATCCAGCAGCTTCAGGATACTCTCACGCTCCTTCAGAGTCTTCCAGGCCTGGTCCTTTTCTTTCTTGGTGGGAGTCCGCTTCTTCTGCCGGGCAGCCATGATCTTGCGAAAGGCGTCCATGACCTCATTGTCAGCCATGCGCACCCGCTGCCTCAGCTCCTGCCGGCTTACCTCCTCCTTTGCCAGCCTGTTGGGGACCAGCCAGCCAGGTGTCATGGTCAGCCCACCTCCAGAGTGGTCCCTCCCTCTTCCAGACTGAGCATACCCACCAGCCCAGGCTGGCACACCTGTGGATTGTTTCATACAATCGTGACCAAAAAGCAGTTACTGAACTACACTTATATGGCATAATTTTAAGCTCTTGAAAAATTAACTCATGTTGATCATGGGGGAGGCTGTGCACATGTAAGGATAGGAAGTATATGAGAATTCTCTGTACCTTCCTCTCAATTTTGTTGTGAACTTAAAACTGCTCTAAAAGAATAAAATCTTGGCTGCACATGATGGTTCACATCTGTAGTCCCAGCACTTTGGGAACCCAAGGCAGGAGATCACTTGAGCCCAGGAGTTCGAGACCAGTCTGAGCAACATAGTGAGACTGTCTCCACAAAAAAATAAAAAAATTAGCTGGGTGTGGTGGTGCACACCTGTGGTCCCAACTCCAAAGGGGCTGAGGACTGCTTGAGGCCAGGAGTTCAAGGAGTGAAGTATGATCATGCTACTGCACTCCAGTTTGGGCGACAGAGCATGACTGTGTCTTTAAAAGGTCTTAAAAACATATACGGTAGGCTGGGCAAAGTAGCTCATGCCTGTAATCCCAGTGCTTTGGGAGGTGGAGGAAGGAAGATCACTTGAGGCCAGGAGTTTGAGACCAACCTTGGCAACAGAGCAAGACCTTGTCTCTAAATAAAATATACATATGCGTACACACACACACACACAATACACATACATGCAGGCGCGTGTGCACACATCCACACCCACTCTCTCTCTTTCAGTTAATCCTCCTAACAACCCTGCAAAGTATGTACTATTATTCCCATGTTACTAGTGAAAAAAATGAGGCTCAAAAAGGATCCCAGGAACCCACAGTTAGTAAGTGGGAGATCTGGAGCAGGCTGGGGCCAAATTCTTGTTTTTAAACAAGAGTTCTTTAACAGGTGCTCCAGTGCCAGCAGAAGGCCTGCTTACTTTGGCATCCATATTCCAGAGCCCTCTAAGGGCATAGGCAGCCTGAGGTGGACAGGAGGTGGGTGAGACACCAAATTAATCCCTCCGAATACAATGTGATTTATACATTTCATGGATGGTGGAGCTGGAAGGTTGCTTAGCAATTGAGTCCAGCCTACCAGTTTTCCAGAAGGGGAAGCTGCTGCTCGGGCCGGGGGTGCTTAAGGCCTTGCAGCTGCTCTGCAGCAGGGTAAGTGCTGTGCTCTGGTTTCCTAAGAGCCACAAGCCATTTCTTCATTGCCCATTACTTCTTTTTTTTTTGAGACAAGTCTCACTCTGTCACACATGCTGGAGTACAGTGGCCTGATCAAGCTCACTGCAGCCTCCCCCTCCCAGGACCAAGTGATCCTCCCACCTCAGCCTCCTGAGTAGCTAGGACTATAGGCATCTGCCACCATGCCTGGCTAATTTTTAAAAAATTTTGGTAGAGATGAGTTCTCACTACATTGCCCAGGCTAGTCTTGAACTCCTAAGCTCAAACAAGCCTCCTACCTCAGCCTCCCAAAGTGCTGGGATTACAGGCATGAGCCACCAGGCCCCACTAGGGCCCATTACTTCTGTAACTGCACATGCCTACTTTTCTCTCTTCTTCTGTCTCTCCTCCTTCCCTTAGTGCCTCTTTCATCTGTGTTTTCTTCTCTCACCCTTCAGAAAAAAACATGAACTATTACAGAAAAAGGCTTCGATTCAGCCCTGGGATGAAGTCTCAGCTTGGCTGTTTACTGAGGGTGTGACCTTCAGCAGAGCACTTCACTTCACTGGGCCTTTATTTCCTCATCTGGTAAACAAGGAAAATACCACCTCCCTCCTGGCACACAAGCCCCTGGCACACAGTAGACACTCCGCATACATTAGTCACCCTTATCCTTAAATACCCTGGCAGCAGCTTGTCAGCAACTACCTCTCCTTTTAATGGCACCTGTCTTTACTGATCATCTACTAGTAATCTGCAACTCCATTGCTCTGCCTCTCTTGCTGACCCCCAGCACAATGCCTGGCTAAGAGACAAAAAGAATGGCCAAATGATTATCTGGGCATGGTGGCGCATGCCTGTAATCCCAGCTATTTGGGAGGCTGAGGCAGGAGAGTTGCCTGAACCTGGGAGGAGGAGGCTGCAGTGAGCCGAGATTGCGCCACTGCACTCCAGCCTGGGAAACACAGTGAGACACTGTCTCAAAAAAAAAAAAAAAGGTCAAATGAATGAGTGTGCCCTGACCCGTCAGGGCCCTGTGAAGTCAAGACATGGCACTTGCTGGTGAGAAGCAAAGAGACTTGCTTGGGTTGCTTCCCTATCTCTTTAACAAAAGGGCACCTATTCCACAGTCTCCTTCCGGATGTCACTTATACCCTTGTTGTGATCAACGCAGGACAAGATGGATGGGAGCTGACATCAAATGAATGGCAGGCACTAAAGTGGCGGATTCCCTAAAGAACGTGTTCTAAAACACTGATCAATTTCTTGTGATGAGCAAATAAATATCACAGATCCCCAACAAAATGTTAACAGTTAATCAGTCTAGGTGAAGAATATACTGATGTTTATTACGTGAATCCTTCAGATTTTGTGTATGAAATTTTTTATAATAAAACTTTGGGGAGAAAAAGAAAAGTAGCATGAAAAGAAAAAATAAATCACATAACAATGTGAATATAGGTAACACTACTAAACTATACACTTAAAAATGGTTAAGAGGATAATTTTTTTTTTCTTTTTTTGAGATGGAGTTTTGCTCGTTGCCCAGGCTGGAGTGCAATGGTGCAGTCTTGACTCACTGCAACCTCCGCCTCCCAGGTTCAAGCAATTCTCCTGCCTCAGACTTCCATGGGCATAAATTTCATGTTATGCCTTTACCACAAATAAAAAACCAAACCAAATCAAATCAATCGATCAGTCACAGGTACCTGAGCCCCACTCTGTGGAATTAGAATTTGTCTGAGAAATACCTGGTGGACTGGCCACTACTTTTTTTTTTTCAAGGCTCTCCAGGTGACTTAGAGGACAGCCAGGCTTGGAAAGCCTGTTGCAAAGTCCCTGGAAGGTGACCAGCTGTGGCCACGGCCTCCAAGGCCACCCCCAGGATCATGCATCCTACTTATACTCACCTCAGCAGATCATGCTTCTTGGTGCGGTTGTGGGCACTAAGTGCCTTCAGCTCTGCCTGCCGTTTGCGCAGCTCAGCAAGGACTTCATCCTCAGAGTCCTCTGCGGGGCGGTCCTCAGACTCCAAAAGGCCCTGGGCAATGAGCTCCTCTTTGATGCGGCTCTCCAGGGACTTAGTATGCGGCACACTGCATGGGGAGACAGGCCCCTGTCAAACTCAAGAGCCAGCTTGGAGGAGGGCCCACTTTGGAGGTTCCCAGGACTTCCCAAGGCAGTGAACACCTGCCTTTCCCTTTGAGCACCCCCTCTATATCTATCCAGATGTAAAGGGAGGAACAGACACATCTGGTCTGGTTTTTAAATACAAGCAACATGTATCCACTGTCCAAAAAATATGGAAAAACTTGTAATGCCAACAACCCAGAAAGCAGCACTATTATTTTGTTATATGTTGTTATATATATTCCAGATTTTGTTATATATTATCCCCAATCTTTTGCTACATATTAGTCCAGGTTTTTTCCCCTATGGGAACATATTTAAATATATTTTAACTAAGCTGGGTGTGGTTGCTCATGCCTGTAATCCCAGCACTTTGGGAGGCTAAGGTGGGAGGATCACCTGAGGTCAAGAGTTCAAGACCAGCCTGGCCAACATGGTGAAACCCCATCTTTACTAAAAATAAAAAAGTTTGCCAGGTGTGGTGGCAGGCACCTGTAATCACAGCTACTTGGAGGCTAAGGCAGGAGAATCGCTTGAACCCAGGAGGTGGAGGTTGCAGTGAACCAAGATTGTGCCATTGCACTCCAACCTAAACGACAAGATTGAGACTCTGTCTCAAAAAAAAAAAAAAAGGAAAAGAAAAAAGAAATGTATTTTAAGTAAAAATAGGATTATAATGTCTGTACTGGACTACAACTAACATTTTTCCCACTTGGCATGCTATAATTTACATCTTTTCATGTCGATGAACTATATTTCTCTATACTTGCAACTATATGATTAATAGTTGTAAGTTATTTCATCACATGGAGTTATGCCAATTTTGCTAACCAATCCCCTTCAGTGGGACATTTAGGTTATTTAAGGTATGAACAGTTCTATGCTGAACAACCCTGCACTCAGTCTGTGCATGCAGGCACGCTGGGCCAGCACTCACACTTGAGACTGCTGTTGGGCTGCACCTAATTGCCCCCAGTCTCCTATTGATGAGGACCCCCCCATGCTGAAATGGATCGAAGCCAACAGAAGCGGGGGCCAGATTGTGGGGTGTGGATAGGACACCACTCACCTGAAGGGCTTGTTCTGATTGCGAGGGGAGGTGCTTGCCCCGTCAGCCCCTGATTCTTTTCCAGACATGTCAGGAATAGGAGAGTCCTCCATAGGGGAAATAATATTTTCCTAGAACACCACAGAAATGGGTGGAAGGAAAAAGAGCTGTTCCACTTTCCTGCTCTTTTCTGACCTATTCTGATAGTCTTCACAGCCCATGCTCTCCTTTCCTCCGCAGCAGCTGGGCAATGCTTGTCCAGCTGCATTACATTTCCCAGGCTCCCTTGCAAGGGGGTACGGTCATGTGACAGATTCTCTCTAGGGGAAAGTGATCAGAAGTGATAACAGCCACAGCTGGGCATGGCCCAAAAGGCTTCCTTCACACACTCCTCCTTGCTCTTATTCTGTGGGACTGGAGTGGAAATTACATCTAGAATGACCCTGTGCAGACTGCAAGGCCACTGTCAGATGGGGTCCCTGTCTGATGGTATGAGGTAGAGACCTGCCTCTTCCCCTAACTTAGATAACCTGGAACATGTACCCAGACTGTTACAAGAGAGAAACTATTGCATTTCAGCCAGAACAGAAAACTGAGGCTCAATGAGGTGAAAGGGTGTGAAGGTGTGTCTAAGGTCAACCAGCAGGTGTGAAGACAAGGACCCTGAAGCTGGGGTTTGAATCCTGCTGTGTGAGATCTCAAACAAACAGTTCCCTTTTCTGAACCTCAATATTCGCACCTGTAACACAAGGTTAACCATTGTCCTGGCCTCCAGAGGGAGGATGTGTATAAAGCACCCCCACAGAGCTCAGCCGTTAGCCAATGCTCAGCAAAAGTAACTGTGGAATAAAGGCTACCTTTGGGGGAAGTCGGAGAAAAGAAGGGACATGAGAGCGGCTGCTAGGATATAGTAATGTGTCATTGTATAATCTCCAGGCTGGTAATATAAGCTTATTTGTGAAAATTGTACATTTACGATCTGTGGACCTTTCTATTAGGTTGGTGCAAAAGTTATGTATTATTCCCAATCTTTTGCTACATATTAGCCCTGGTTTTTACTTTTGCACCATCATAATAAATGTATGATATAGTCCAACATAACACACTGAAACACAAAGTAATGTTTTGGGTTGGGGTGCTCACCTCCACCAGGGCCTGCAAGAGGCGCTGGGTCAGGGCACCAAAGGGGCACCCATCTTCTGGCTGCTCGTGCTGGGCCTCAGACTTCTTCAGCAGGGCATCCACATCTAAGCAGGCACAGGAAAGAAGGGCAGGTAGGCTGAAGTTCTGGAACTCAAATCCTGACCTGGGGTTGGCAGGGAGGTGAGGGGCCTACCTTTAGTGTCCAGTTCGGTCAGTGGCCCCATGAGGCCTTTCTTCTTGTCAGCCACAGCCGCTGCCCGGGCCCCATCCTTCTGCTCCTCCAGCAGGTCCTCCTGGGCCCAGCGTTGGGAGTAATGCTTCCCCAGGGGTGGGATCTGTGGGAAAGATGGTACCTGGCCCTGAGTGGGTAAGCACTGGCCAGCCATGCTTCATTCATTAATTCACTTATCTGTCTTATTTCTCTCTCAAGTCCCTAGGTTCAGGGCCAAGCCCAGTGCCAGGTACAGGTAAGAAGGGACAAAGAAGATAAAAACTCTACATGCACACTCTAGTAAGGGAGACAGGTCCAAAAAGAACTAAGACACACATACACAGAAACCAATCTGAAACAATTCCCAAGATAGAAGGTGCAGAATACTCCACATTCACAGATTGTCTCGGGTCACAGTAATTGCCTCGAGAGAATTAAGGGCCTTCAGCTCACGGTGACAGGGAATTACCGTTTGTATTGCTTGAATGTACTACTGCTGTCTCTAGGAACTACTTTTTCAAATAAATTTTTAAAAAATCAGGTAAGCGACGTGAAAGAGGTAGATCAAAGTGTTGTGGCAGCACAAAGGAGAGACTCACTTTCTGCTGGGGAATCTGAAAGGGTGCTTTGGTGGAGGTAATATGAGATCAGGGCCTTGAAGGGTGAGTCAAGTCTGTCAAGGAGAAAAGAGATTGCCAGAGGCCCAGAGACCAGCAAGGAGCCGGTGGTGTCCTGGAATGAGGGCAAGGTACTTGGTAGGACCAGTCAACAGGGCAATGAAAAGGAGTATGGCCGAGAAAAATGGAGAGGGGCATTGGAGTTGTGCCACCAAGGACTGAGACGCTTGGACTTGATCCTGTAGGTAACGGGATAAAGAGAAGCCTAGAAGCAGCACCATATCATGAGCACATCTGATCATGACAGCTGACCTCTGGGCGCATTCTCCCTCAACATTTTTCTGTATTTTCTAAATTTTATTTTCATCATGAAAACATAGAGTTTTATATCTTCTTCTTCTTCTTTTTTTTTTTTTTTTTAAATGAGAGGGAATCTCACTTTGTCACCCAGGCTGGAATACAGTGGCGTGGTCTTGGCTCACTGCAACCTCCCAGGTTCAAGCGATTTTCCTGGCTCCACCTACCGAGTAGCTGGAATTACAGGCGCACACTACCATGCCCGGCTAACTTTTGTATTTTTAATAGAGACAGGGTTTCACCATGTTGGTCAGGCTGGTCTCAAACTCCTGACCTCAGGAAATCTGCCTGCCATGGCATCCCAAAGTGTGGGGATTACAGGGGTGAGCCACTGCACCTGGCTGAGTTTTATATATTAAAAAAAGAAGAGGCCCGGTGCAGTGGCTCATATGCCTGTAATCCTAGCACTCTGGGAGGCTGACACAGGCGGATCACGAGGTCAAGAGATCGGACCATGCTGGCCAACATGGTGAAACCCTGTCTCTACTAAAAGTACAAAAATTAGCTGGGTATGGTGATGCCTGCCTATAGTCCCAGCTACCTGGGAGGCTGAGGCAGGAGAATCGCTTGAACCCGGGAGGCGGAGGTTGCAGTGAGCTGAGCCCATGCCACTGCACTCCAGCCTGGTGACAGAGTGAGACTCAAAGAAAGAAAGAAAAAAGTTCTCTCCAGGGGCCTCAAAACAGGAAGAAAGTTAAGGGGCTGTTTGGATAAATGATGATGAAGGCTTGGACCAAAGCAGAGGGGATGGAGATAAAGCAACATGGGCAGACTTCACTAAGTAGATGCTTGAGGGTGTGGTGACCATTTGGCTGGGGTAGAGGGGAGGCAGTGCATGGAGAAAGCTGAGTTTGGGCCTGGGTGTCAGGATGCTTGATGGAGCAGATAGGAGGCTGGGCAGGGTCGGGGAAGGAATACGATGCATAGCTTTGGTAGCTTTAATTCTCAGGCACTCTGAGCTCTCTTGTTCTGCACCATGTCTACCAAAGCCCAGGATTTCTACCTTGTAATGCTCAGCCTCATCTTCTGGGGGCTTCAGTAGCTCCTCAAGTGTGCGCACTTCCTCGCTGGTGATGTCAGCACAGTAGGGCTCCACTGAAGCCCAGAACCTGCAGGGAGAAGCAGATCCTGAGTGGGCACTCCACCCCACCAGTGCCACCACCACAGCCTCAAGGCCCCTTTCTATGTTCTCTAGCCCAGGACCTGTTGGGGGCATCATTTTTGGGGATCCGTGGCACGTCGATAGGGTCATCAGTGAATTCATATTCCTGGATCTTGGGCTGAAGGTTTTTGGATTTGGGCCGTCCTGGGCCAGGGCCTGGCCCATGTCCCGCCTTCCCTTCCAGTTTCTGCTTCTTGGGCTTCCCATGTTTGGGGGGAGCTCCAAGTTCATGGTCTCGACCCAGCTTCAGGAATCGACGGTCACCTTTCTTATCCTGCCAGTCGGTGAGGATCTGAAATTTACAGAAACTGTCACTGAGGGGGAGAACAGAAAACACCGAATATCTCTCTTTCCTTTAGTGAATAAAATAGGATCTTGAATCTAAGGAGGCTCCTGGGTCTTTCCCCATCTTCTTTTTACCTAGTCAACTCTTACTCATCCCTCAAAATTCAGCTCATTTTTTGTGCCTGGCCTCAAGACTTCATTCATATACTTCTCATCATCTCATTCACTTGTTTGTCTGTACTCTGATTCACCTCTGTATCACCCATGCCAGTCACATACTGTTTAACAGAAGAGTCCTCTCAGCAAACCTTCACTTTGATTTCACTACTACTGAGATGCCTTCTCTGAATCGGTTACCCAGGTTCTTAGATGCTCAAATACAACTTGTATCATAGCCTTCCTCAAGGAGCTTCTGTGGATTCCCAGGGACAAGTTAATTCCATTCATCCTTTTAGGTCTAGTTGGCAACTCCTTCCTCTACAAGTCTCTGGTACTTCATACCTCCACCGTGGACCCAACTGTGTTGTTTGGTCACATTGGGATGACCATCACACCTTGTCTCTTCAGCTAGACCATAAGCTACTGAAGACCAGAAAGCCCATCTTAACCATCTCTGTTTTGCAGGATACAGCATAGCGCCTGGCACACAAGGCTCAGGGGATGTTTATGCTGTGAATAAAGTAATCAGAGTAGTGAATAAATAACACCTGAAGTGCTAGTGCCTGGTATTGGGCTGAGCTTTTGTAAAAATTCTTTCAATCCTCACAAAAGCCCTAAGGTAGGTCCTATTAGTCATCCCACTTTGCAGATAGGGAAACTGATACTCAGAGATGAGGCAACTTTCTCAGAGTCACATAGCTAGGAAATAGCAATGCCAGCAAGTGCGTATGCCAGGATTCAAATCCAGGTCTCCCCATTCCGGTTCCGTAGTATTCCTTACCACAACACCACAAGTATGTACCTGACTTTCTCCCTTTCCTAGTTGGCAAGCTCCAACTAGGAGCTAGCATAGGACCCAAAACATAAGGTGGGATGGAGTGTCAATAAAAGCTTAGTGAATTAGAAATCTTGCAATTTAAGAGGATCATGCATAGTCTTACTTTTTGTGTCATGCAAGCCCAGTTTGGGTCTCTCCCGCTCTCCCCACAAACCCCTGTACCCCAGGTCTCCGCATATGGGGCTAACTCGATGACCCATCCCATAACTTGTTGCAGTCCATCTCTGGTGACAGACCCTCTCTGGGGTATCACCTGGGTTTCGGCTTCAAGCACGCGCAGGCGCCGGCTGGCAGAAGACAGCAGGGTCTCAAGCTCCAGCTGCAGGGTGTCCAGCTCCTCAATGCCGATGCCATCGTCCTCGGAGCGCGCCAGCACTGCCGTGTAGCGGGGACAGACCTTCAGGTGATCCACAGACTTGAAATCGTGGAACTGCAAGGGGCAGTCTTTCAACTCACTCATGGCCCAGGATATGGGGATCCTGTGGAGCTGGAGAGGACACAGCCATTGATGGGGGACAAAGTAGTTTGAAAACAAGGGCTTCTTACCTCCAGGGACAGCCTCAAGGAAGCCAGAGTTCAGTCCCTTCCTGACAAGATTGATGGCACAGTTCCTACTCATAGGGCACTTAACTTGTGCCAAGCTAGGTGCGGAGCACTTTATCAGCCTATCTCACTGAAATTCTCGCTCAGCACCATGAACAGGGACCACTGTGATCTCACTTTTACAGAGAAAGAAACTGAGACTCTGTAAGGGTGGGCATGTGCCTATGCTTCCAAGACGTAATTTGAACCCTGCTAGTCTTGAGTCTGCACCCCTGATCACCATGCTATACTGCTATGCCTTGCCTTTCTGATGCTCTTTCCTTCCCTTCTTTTTCTCTTGGGTTTTGCTAAGACTGAGTTCCAAGCACCCCATTCTTACCATGTTCTCTGGGACTCTTAGCCTCTTCTTGTCTTACCACACTCCACATTTCCCACTTCTCTAGTCACTAATAGTGGTTTAGAATGTGGGCTGGTAAGCCAGACAGACCTGGGTTCAAGCCCAGGCTTTACCGTTCTCTACTTATGTGCCCCTGAACATGTTATTTGACCTTTTTTTTTTTTTTTTTTTTTTTCCTGAGACGGAGTTTCGCTCTTGTTGCCCAGGCTGCACTGCAATGGCATGATCTCGGGTTACTGCAACCTCCGCCTCCCTGGTTCAAGCGATTCTCCTGCCTCAGCCTCCCGAGTAGCTGGGATTACAAGCATGCACCACCACACCCGGCTAATTTTGTATTTTTAGTAGAGACGGGATTTCTCCATGTTGGCCTGGATGGTCTCGAGCTCCCAACCTCAGGTGATCCGCCCGCCTCGGCCTCCCAAAGTGCTGGGATTACAGGAGTGAGACACCGTGCCCGGCCTATTTGATCTTTTTGAGTCTCAGTTTTTCCAGCTGTAAAATGGGGACAAAAGATGTCTTGGTCTGTTTCCCCATTAAAAGCCTGAATCTGAAAAATGGGGATAACAACAGTACCTACCTCCCTGGGATGCTCTGAGGATTAAGAGATGATGCCAGTCAAGAGCCCAGTTCAGAGTGCCTGGCACAGAAGAAGTGGGACTATTTAATGGCTGGCCCCACCCGGGAGTCGCCCCAATGTCTCGCCTTCAGAGTCCCTGTTCTCCAGGGACACCCTAGCGCGACCCCCGCCCCCTCTACCTCCTCACTGCTGCCTCCTACGGCCCCGGGGCCGCGGGAGGGGGCGGGGAGTTCCGGTCGGTGGGAGCAACCGCCCCGGAACTGGCTGTGGGCGGGCCCCTTGCAGTTGACGCGGGGGCAGGGAGTCAGCGAGGGCGAGCCTACTGGGATTTGCGGGAAGTGGGGAGCAGGTGGGCCTCGAGCAAGCCCACTAGGGGTGGGGTGCGGGTGGTGGGCCTCAGGCGAGCCCCAGGACAGAGCCTGGGGCGGAGGGCGGGGCTTGGCGGCTGAGGTCTCGGCGCTGCAGTTAGCCCCGCCGAGCCCCAGGAGCTGCGGGTAGGAGGGGCGAGAGAAAGGATGGGGGCACAGAACCGGAAGAAACGAAGGGCTCCTCCGCTTCAGTTTGTCCTAATTTGGTGCCCAACCTGAGGCTGGGCTGTACCATTGCATGTCTAGGGGGAGGCTGTTGCAAAGGCGACAAGAAGACCGAAGGCACAAGCGAGAGCTGCACGCATACCTGGCCAATCTTGAGTAGTGACCCTAGTGCAAGAGTTTAAAAATACCGAGTGAGCCCTAGCTGGAAAACTTCCGTGAGGCCCAAGCGTTCTAGGCTCTCCCTACCCCGCTCAGAGCATGGATGGTACCGTCCGGAAGTCCGGGCGGAGACCTCGGCTGCGCTTCTCGCGAAAGGGCAGGCATCGCGGGGCTGGCTACTTCCGCACTTCCGCTTTCCGGCCCATCCAGCGCCCGCGATGGTGAGAGAGCCGGGCCCCCAGTTAGGGACCCCCAGCTGTTCAGCCTCAGGGCTATGGGTTGGTGGGAGATGTGGCTTTGCCGTGGGGGCCCAGGGCCGATGGATGCCGGGGGGGTGTGGGGACACGATGAGGGTGGGAGAAAGAGGGCGGGGCGGGGGCCCGCGGTGAGGAAGGGGTAAGTGGAGGTACTCGCTGGTATGAAGCGGGCCTTGCTGCTTCATGATCAGCCTTCGAAGCAGGTAGGGACTTTTCCTGAGCCCTGGAGGAAGCCGGAAGTGGGGCCTCCTAGGGCTTGTTGGAGCGTCTTGAGGGTACGTAGTCGGCCTTTTAGCCCGTTGTAGGGCCGCTGAGGCATGTAGCAAGGCCACCTGCCTATCCACAATGGAGCGTCACTAAACACGCCCTTTGTCCTCTTCTGCCTTCCTGATCCTACAGTTGCTCAAGGCAGGCGGTCACACTTCTTCTGGAGGTACCAAGAGTGGGATAACCACTGATGGTACCTCCAGCCCAGCTTCCATCCCACTGGAGGATCTCTCGTGTTGCTTCCACTCAGGCCCTTCCTAGTCAGAACCGAACTGTGTCAGCCTTAGTGTATGCTAGCTGTCATACTGTTCATTCCTTCCTTCCTGGAAGTTCTCCCTTTTCATACATGTGGGCATTCCTGGGATTTGTGACTTTGGATCACCACCTCCCTCTTTGCCACACCCTCCCTGGTGATACTGATCTAGTCTCCTGGCTTCGAAGACCTTTGCATTCTGGTGACTCCTAATCTGGCTTCCCAACTCTCTTTCAGGATTTGTCTGGATATTTTGAAGCGATATTAAAATTAGATCTCTAGTTCAAAACTCATCTTCCATTCTAAACTTGCTCTTTCCCCTGGGTTCCCTATCCTGGCAAACTTTGTGACCTCATATCTCAGCTAGAAATCTGGAATTTTTTTCTTCTAATGGAGCACAGGCCTCCTGATTTTTAAAAATTCAAGTTTATTGAGGTATTACATGAAACTACATCTGTTTTATTCATGAAGGGACAGGTGTCAAGGAGCCAGTCACCCTTTTTAGGTTTACTCTCTATAAGTATTGACAAAATCTTGCTGGATATGGTGGCATGTGCCTGTAGTACCAGCTATCAAGAGGCTGAGAGGCAGGAGGATCATTTGAGCCTAGAAGTTTGAGGCTGCAGTACACTGTGATCACTCCTGTGAATAGCTACTGCACTTCATCCTGAGCAATATAGAAAGACCCCCTGTCTTAAAAAAAAAAAAAAAAAAAGTCACGCTGTGTAACCACTACTACAACCAAAATATAGAACATTTCCATCATCCCAAAAAGTTCCCTCCAGCCCTTTTGTAATCCTCTCCTTCTTCCCACCTCCAACAACCACTGATTTTTTTGCCCCCTATAGTTATGCCTTCTTCAGATTGTCATATAAATGGATTCTTTAGTATGTAGGCTTTTAAGTGTGGCTTCTTATCATAATACATTTGCGAGTCATCCATGTTGTGTGTATCAGTAGTTACTCTTTTGAATTGCCAAGTAGTATATTTAATTGAATGGCTGGACCAGAGTTTGTTGGAAGTTGTTTTTCAATTAATTCCATTATCTTCTACATCTAATGTCAGTCCAACGCTTCTGACACTCTTTGCTTGTGATACCCTTTGCTTGTTATAGTGTCTGCTCTTATGTCTCACTTCCCTCTCCAGATCGTTCTCCACAGAGCCACCATGCAGCTGCAGTCATGAACTTCCTCCTCAGAAAGCCCCAGTAGTTCCTTACCCCCTTATAAAGCTAAACTTGGTAGCCTGGCATTCAAGATTCCCCATGATCTCAACCCAGCCTACCACTGCAGCCTCATTTAGTGAATCTAAAATGCTTCTCATATGTAGAAATGTTGTACTCATTACTACTCTGCAACTCTTGATGTCCTTCTTTGTCACTCTAACCTTAATTATTTCTTTCATTTATTCTACAGAAAATGAGTAGACACTGTATGTATATGTTAGGTATTGAGCTAGGGTGCAGGCTATATAGCTGTGAATAAAATAGATGTTTGTTGACTATGAAGTTTACAGTCTAATAAAGGAGAAATCACTTTACAAAGGCACAAAGGAGGCCAGGTGCGGTGGCTCACGCCTGTAATCCCAGCACTTTGGGAGGCTGAGATGGGCCAATCACTTGATGTCAGGAGTTTGAGACCAGCCTGGCCAACATGGTGAAACCCCATCTCTACTAAAATCAAAAATTAGCCAGGCATGGTCATACACCCCTGTATTCTCAGCTATTCTAATGGCTGAGGCAGGTGAATCACTTGAATCTGGGAGGTGGAGGTTGCAGTGAAGCAAGATTGCACCACTGCACTCCAGTCTGGGCAACAGAGTTAGACTGTCTTAAATAAATAAATAAATAAAGCCCGGGAGTAGTGGATCATGCCGGTAATCCCAGCGCTCTGGGAGGCCGAGGCTGGCAGATCGCCTGGGGCCAGGAGTTCGAGACCAGCCTGACCAAGGTGGTGTAACCCCACCTCTACTAAAAATACAAAAATTAGCCGGGCGTGATGGTGTGCACCTGTAATGCCAGCTACTTGGGAGGCTAAGGCAGGAGAATCACTTCAACCCACGAGAGGTGGAGATTGCAGTGACCCAGGGTTGCACCAATGCACTTCAGCCTGTGCGACAGAAGCAAGACTCCGTCTCAAAAAAATAAATAAATAAATAAAAATATATATAAAAAGACAATAAAAATAAAACAAAGATGTTTTATTGTAAATTGTAATAAATGCTTGTAGGGGGAAGTCAAGAAAGGCCCCTCTAAGAGGCCTTCCTTAATTAAGCTGAGATCTGAAGGATGACTTAGGCAAAGAAAGAGGAGAAAAGCCTGCAAATAGACGGTCGAGTATGTGTAAAGCCCTGAGGTGGCAAAGAACTTTAATATATGGTTGATATAAGCACTGACCAGTGCAGCTAGAAGCTAATCCCTCTGCTAAGAATGTCCTTATTCTGCTTTGTCTCATTATAAAATCATCCTAATCCCATTTCATCTTCAAATCAAAACCAGTTTCATCTGCAAATAGAGATTACTTGTAAGTCTAAACATTTCACATTTCATCTTCCTTTATATCATATTATTTTCTGTATACCTGCTATCCAGTTGACACCTGTCTGGGTAGCGATAGTGTTAATCATCTTTGAATTCCCAGCTAGCTCAGTGCCTGGCAAACAGTAGACCTATATATTTGTTGGCCTCATATACAGATTGAAGACAATCATTTATTCACTGGTATGTCTCTAGATCACTTTCTCAGCCTCAGCACTATTGATACTTGAGGCCGGATAATTCTTTGTAATGCATTGTCCGATGTTTAGTGGATATCTGTCCACTCAATGCCTGCAGTACCTCTCCCTGCCAAGTCATGGTAGTTGAAAATATCTCAGCATTCCCCTGGTCTGACTCCAGGTTTAAAAGAAAGAAAGAAAGAAAATTTCTCATCATTGCCAAATGTATCCTGGCAGGCAAAATAGTCTCCTGTTGAAAACCACCACTCTACACCTTGGAAGGCATGTCGCAGGCCTAGTCTGTTTGGTTCACTGTGGTGTCTTAAGAGCTTCACACCCTCAGGGCTACTTGGCTTCGTGGGAGCTAGAATAGGGGATCAGTGGGTTTGGTGTGACAGATTTTGATCTTCTCTGCCCTTTGCGTTATTTCCTATAGACTGCCACTCTCCGCCCCTATCTGAGTGCCGTGCGGGCCACGCTGCAGGCTGCCCTCTGCCTGGAGAACTTCTCCTCCCAGGTTGTGGAACGACACAACAAGCCGGAAGTGGAAGTCAGGTAGGGAAGGACAAGTCAAGTTGGGGATGAGGGGTGCAGCATGCAGATGGCTACTGTCGAGAGGGTGCCATGAATTTATGTCCTGGAGTTGTCAGGACAGCTGCAGTTGACATTTTGTCTTGGTGCTAGCTGAATAGTGAGTCCTGATTTGGAGTCAAGAAAATAGGGTCAGCTGGGCTTGGTGGCTCATGCCTGTAATCCCAGCACTTTGGGAGGCTGAGGCGGGTGGATCTCCTGAGGTCAAGAGTTCGAGACCAGCCTGATCAACATGGAGAAACCCCATCTGTACTAAAAATACAAAATTAGCTGGGCATGGTGGTGCATGCCTGTAATCCCAGCTACTCGGGAGGCTGAGGCAGGAGATTCGCTTGAACCTGGGAGGCAGAGATTGCGGTGAGCCAAGATTGTGCCATTGCACTCCAGCCTGGCCAGTGAGAGCAAAACTCTGTCTCAAAAAAAGAAAAAGAAAATAGGGTCAGTGGGTTGGCAGGACACAACCCAGGGGAGAAGACAAGATTGCTTGACTCAAGGTATGACTTCTCAGAGTAGGGCTGTTGATGAAGTCTCCACTGTGGCATTGTTGAAAATACTGGTAGTTTAAGGAATGGTCAGATTAGTTATTTACCTGAGATGCCATCTCCATACTTTCCTAATATAAGGATCAGGGATTTTTTTTCCCTACCAGCCTAGACCCTCTGACCCCCAATCCAAATACTCCATATTT